AGGGGCGCTGCCCTCGGCGACGCGCCGCGGCGGGGCCCCGCACGGAAAGGATGCTCCCGAAACCAGGAGCTCCTGGGGCCGGCGCGGGAGGGCGGGGGGCGCGCATCCATCCGGGGTCGCGGCGAGGGAGGCGACCCGGCCCGCGGCGTCCTCGGCCCCGCGCCCCCGCCGCGGACTGTCTACCCACCGGACCTGAGCTGGTGCCGCTAGGAGTGGGAGCAAAGTAACTCCATGGACGCTACTCACCCCCCCCAAAATAGCCTCCAACTGCGATGGCCGCGGTCGGCACCATTCACCAACCCCCTGTGTATGTTTCTGTTTCTTTTTAAACCAAGACTTCCTTGTGATCTCTTTAGAAAAAAAAAATGTGTTGGGGTGGGGGNGCTGCGCCCGTGCAAGTCCCATCAGGTCTGCTCACACTTCACACACTCACACACATACTCCGCCCCTCCACTCTCTCACTCACTTTCTGCTCACACTCCGCCCCCTTTGCTCCCCAGACCCGGGCGGCCCCCCCCGCAACCTTAAAAAAAAAAAAAAAAGCAAGCTTATACTTAAAAAAATCTTTTGGCGCCATATTAATGACGTACTTAAAATTTGCCATTTCTCCCTGCGTCAAAAAGACGTTTCATTGCAAATAACAGCCTGGAGGCGACACTCGCGGAGGGAACGAGGTTTGCACTGAGCACCCCGCCCCCCAGGGCTCCAGCGCTGGAAGACCCTCGCCCTAGGCCCTGCTTCTGAATCGCTGGTTTTAAAATGCGAATAGAATAAATCGGTTGGCGTTTTGCAGCGCCAGAAGTGAGCAGAAAGTGCTGGCAGGAGCGGAGGGGAGGGGCTCGCGGGAGTCCGCGGGAGGGGGCGCTGCCCTCCTCCCCCACCCACGCCAAATGGAAACTAACATCCCGGGCGGGGGAAAACTTGCATTGCGGGTGACCTCAAGAAAAGAGGGGCAGTCCTTAGAGAGGGTCCCCCTTGGGCTTGTTGCCCCCTCCCCCCTCCGAGTGCCTCCTGGCGCCCAGCGCTGCCCCGCATTTCCGGGGGTTGGGGAACGCAGCGACGGGTGGCTGGCTGGCTGGCTGGCTGCACGTCCTGGCCCCAGTAGGAGTTCGCCCTGGGGCAACACCTTCCCCCTAGCTTGTCCTTCCCATTCCCCCTAAAGGGTTAAAAACCGAGGGGCAACTTCCAAGGGCTGGCACTTGGCGAGGAAGCGGGGCGCCCCTCTCCCCACCCTTCGTCTCCTCGCCCCTCCTCCTCCGGCTCCACTTCCCGACTTGACCTTGTGGTGCACAAACAGTGCGCTCGGATCCTCGCAGTTTCTGGAAGAAGAGCCTGCGCTCGCCAGGCGGGCGGGCTGTCGGGCGGCTAGCCGGCGGTGGCGGGGCCTTGGGTCCGTTCCCGGAGCCGCGGGCCACACCCACCCGACCCACTGCGCCCGCCGCGCTCACCTTCTCTCGAGGAAGGAGAAAGGCTGGCCTCCTGGATGGGGAGGGGTGGGGGGCAACCTTCAGCCTCCTCGGAATGTCCTCAGCTGCGGACGGGGTGGTCTGGCCCCAGGCGGAGGTTTGGGGTCCTGACCCAACATCCCCAAAGCATCGTTGCCAACTTTTTCTTTCCCCTCCTTCTTGGCTGCCCATCAAAGATGATCGAATAAATTTTTCAACTCACCTTTGGCTTTGAAGGCACGTGGGTGAGTTGTGAACCGGGACAGGAATCGCTTTCCCTCTCCAAGACTGAAGGTTGTTTATTCTTCCTTTCTCCTCCACCCCCTTCCATGGAAAGATAAATATTCAATTTACATGAGATGACATTTATGTGACAATTAAGAAGATTCCCCGATGGAATGTTGTGAACACATTTGCTTATAGGAGAAATAAATCTAATAATAAACAAACTCATAATAACAGCACAAATCTCCGACAGGGCGGATTGTCTACACAACAAAGAAGGAGATGATGGATGCTGAAATAAGCACTTTTTGCAACAAGAAAGAAATATGAGCTCAAAGGTAGTCACTGCAAAATTTCTCTTAGCTTTCCTTCACAAAGTCTGAGGAAGCTTGTCTGGCAAGAGAAGGGGTTGGTATGACCACCCAGTTAGACCTGGTCTGGCTCTCAGCTGTCAATTGGTAAAATTTTCCCAGGCCAAACTCAGTACCTGGAAACAGGTGTTGCAGGCTGGGAATGTGTAACAAAATGGTTAAATACCTGGGTTCTAATCCTGGCCTTGTAGTTCAGAAGCTGTGTGATGGGGCAAGTGAATTCGTCTCTCTGGGTTTCTTTTTCCTCTTCTGTAGAATACAATGGTGGGAGGGTGACTGAGGCCAGGTGTGCACATATACATGCTGCATGTGTAAAGCAGGGCATGGCTCAGAGTGCACAGCGGACAATAGCACTTTGCCTGGTGCCTTGTTTTTTTGGAAGGGTGAAAGTGCTCTCTGGAAGTTAATACTGGAAAACTGTAGACAGTGATTTCTGTCTTACCCTCTATACCAGATCTCCCAGTGTGGGCAAAAGGAGGGCCAGGAGAGAAAACTGTGATAGATGCTAGGCTTCATGGTCCAGATGGCAGTGTCAGCCATACGTCTGGGGTGGGAGTGGGGGCACCAGTGTACGGGGGCACCAGTGTACATTGGCACAGTCTAAAGGGACCGCTCTGGTTGGGTCTGGTTGTAGAGGGTGTACATGCAGGAGAGGACAGGACAAGCTCCTCCTCCTGACTGGCAGCATCCCATGAACTGGAACGGCAAAATGCCTTGGCAAGCAGTTATGAAATGACCTAGGGAGATGGAAGAGGGAGAGGATGACCATTTAAAGAGCACCTGCTCTGTGCTATGCACTCTGTGAGCCATTCCATTTCATCCTCACAAAAATCCCATCTTACCTGTTCAGAGAGGTTTAGTAACTTACCAACAGTCACACAGCTAGTAAGTGGTGGTAGAATCAGCACTTAGATCCAGTTGACCTTGAGACCTATGTGGTTTCCACTTTACCACACTGCCAGAAATAAAAAGTATTAGTATTATTGGTATGATTGGGGATGAGGGGCCTGATTGCTATCTTGGCAAGAAGGACAGAATTTTACAAGCAGCACGTTGCCTCTGAGATGGTTCCCTGACTTGGGTTGAGACCGAGGTGCCCTAAAGAATCCTTGGAAAATACCTCTTGTTTAGGACTGGAACCTCCATCGGAATCCTTGGATTCCCACAACACTCTGCTACTGTGTAAGGTTAACCTTGGAAGTGTTAACAGAATGATAATGATAAAGCTAATTATAACTCCTTAATCTTTATTAAAAGTTTTACAAATCATTCATTAACTTTTTACAGGGAAAAAATGAGAAGAAAACAAATGAGAAGAAATAGAGTTCTTGGAGATGTAATCATTCACTTTTTTTCAACAAATATTTATCGAGTGCCTCCTATATGCCAGGCAAAATTCTAGGTGCTGGGGACACAGCACAAATGAAACAAACAGAAATGCCTAGTCTCATGGAACTTACTTTTTAGTGGAAAGAGATACACAACTTAAAAATAAACAAATAAAAAATATATTGGGCTGGCTGGTTAGCTCAGTTGATTAGAGTGTGGTGTTGATAACACCAAGGTCCAGGGTTCAATCCCTGTTACCTGCCAGCTGCCAAAAATAAAAAAGCGAAACAGAACAAATATATGTTATGTTAGAAGGTGATTAGGTGCTATGGAGAAAAACGAAAAGGCGATACAGAGTGCAATTTTAAATAGAGAGAAGATAGCTTTTGAGTAAAAGGACGTGGAGTATACGGTATCTGGGAGTATATATGTAGGCGAGGGGACATAGGGGAAGAGTGTTCTAAGGTAGGAGTTCTTAACCTGAAGCCCACAGACCTATGAAGGTTGTGGAATTCAGGTGGCCTTGACCTTAGGTGGGAAAAAAATTACATCTCTATTTTCACTTATTAAAATTTAGCGGGCCAGCCCGTGGCTCACTCGGTAGAGTGCGGTGCTGATAACACCAAGGCCCCGGGTTCGGATCCCATATAGGGATGGCCGGTTCGCTCACTGGCTGAGCGTGGTGCTGACAACACCAAGTCAAGGGTTAAGATCCCCTAACCGGTCATCTTTTGAAAAAAAAAAAAATAAATAAAATAAAATAAAATAAAATTTAGCGTGTTCTTCAATTATGAGTACAGACAACAAATCAGTGATATTTAGCAGCACCTGTGACGTTGCTAGTAGAGATCACAGATATTTTCATATCACATTACAGTTGTTGCATACACCTTAAAATATTACACTCATCACTCCTTCAAAATTATGCTGCTAGCTCTTAAAATTTATTTAATAAAGAAGCATATGTATTACACATTTAAAAATATTTTGAGAGTCATATTTTAATATAATTGGTTTTCTTTAAAATTTATGGAACTTGGGCCGGCCCGTGGCTCACTCGGGAGAGTGTGGTGCTGATAGCACCAAGGCTGCGGGTTCGGATCCCATATAGGGATGGCCGGTTGGCTCACTTTGGTGAGCGTGGTGCTGACAACACCAAGTCAAGGGTTGAGACCCCCCTTACCGGTCATCTTTAAAAAAAAAAAAAAATTTATGGAACCTATTTTATGGATTTAAAGATATTATACTGAGAAGAAGTCTACAAGCGTCACAGACTGCCAGAACAGTCCACGGCACACAAGAAAAAGTTAAGAACCACTGTCTCAGCAAGTGTGGGGCCGGCCAGTGGCTCATTTGGGAGAGTGTGGTGCTGATAACACCAAGGCCAAGGGTTTGGATCCCTATATAGGGATGGCTGGTTAGCTCACTTGGGAGAGCATGGAGATGACAACACCAAGTCAAGGGTTAAGATCCCCTTACCGGTCATCTTTAAAAAAAAAAAAAAGAGAGAGACCAGCAAGTGTAAAGGCTCTGAGGCAGGAATGTGCTTAATATGTAAAAGGAGGAGATTATACAGGGCCTTGTAGGGCATTGTTAGGGATTTGGCTTTTGCTGGAGTGATATAGGGGTTTTTGAGCAGAAGAATGACATGATCCGACACTGGATTTTACAGGTCATGCGGCTGTTACATAAGAGAACAGATGAAGGGGGCAAGTTTGAAGCAGGAAAACCATTTAGGAGGTCACTATAATAAATTAGGTGAGAGATGATACTAACATGGACCAGAGCAGTAACAGTAGACATGGTGAGAAGGGGTCAAAATGGTGAGAAGGGGTCAAAATGGTGAGAAGGGGTCAAATTCTGTGTGTGTATATGTGTGTGTGTGTGTGTGTGTGTGTGTATTTTGGCAGCTGGCTAGTAAGGGGATCCCTTGATCTTGGTGTTGTTCTGTGTGTGTATGTGTGTGTGTGTGTGTATTTTGGCAGCTGGCTAGTAAGGGGATCCCTTGATCTTGGTGTTGTCAGCACCACTCTGTATGTATTTTGAAGGTAGCTCTGACAGAATTTGCTGATGGAATGTAAGAGAAAGAAGTCAAGGATGACTGAGAGTTTTACCTTGAGCCAATGGAAAGATGGAGTTGCCATTAACTGAGATGGGAGAAACTGGAAGAAGCAGGTTTGGGGAAGGATAAGGAGCTCAGGGTTGGACATGTTAAGCTTGAGATGCCTGTTAGACATCTACGTGCAGCCATCCCATAGGCAGCTAGACACGGTAGCCTCAGCTCAGGCGTGAGGTCCAGGCTGAAGATATCATTTGAGAGTGGTCAGCAGATGGATGGCATTTAAAGCTGTAGGGCTGAGATCGTCAAAGAAGTGAGTGTCAAAAAAGAATGGCTCAACCATGGCAGCCTCAGGCACTAAAGGTTAAGAAGTCTGGAAGATGAAGAGGAATTAGCAAAGACGTTAAAAAGGAAGCATTCATAGAGATAGGAGGAATGTCCTGGAAGCCAAGGGAAGAGAGAGTTTCAGGAGGGAGGAAAACCCTATGTTCAAAGCTGCTGAGGGGTCAGATAAGATGAAGATTGAGAATTTATCATGAGGTTCAGCCACAGGGAGGTCACTGGTGACCTTGACAAGAACCGTGTCAATGGGGTGGTACAAGCAAAAGCTTGATTGGAGTGGGTTCAATAGAGAGTGGGAAAATTTATAGTTACAGCTTGTTCCAAGAGGCTACCTGAAAATGAGATGTCCTCTGTGTGTTTATCTGTGAATGTGGGTAGAGATGGATAACCATGTATCTGTAGAAATTCAATTCAAACAACTTTTGTGGAGCATCTCCTGTGTGCTAGGCATGATAATGAATGCTACAGATACTGAGAGAAATAAAGCACACTGATTGCTTTCCAGGAGTTCACAGTCTAGCAATTTGTTGACACGTGAAATATATGGCTGGAACGCACACAGTCAGCCAGGACATCAGTTTTTCTAGTGTAATAGATAATATGGTTGAAACTGTGGATTCTAGAGTTAGGCAGTGCTGGGTTTAAGTCCTGTCTCCACCATTCACCAGCTCTGTGACTTTGTATAAGTCAGGTAACCTCTCTGTGCCTCAGTTTCCTCCTCTGTAAAGTAGGGATGCTATCACTTCCAAGCTTTAGTGTGCCTGAGGTACTTGTTAAAAATGTAGATTCCTGGGCTTTAACAACAAAGATTCTCAATGAGCAAGTCTGGGGCAGGGTCTAGGGGTCTGCATTTTTAACAAGCACCTGGTCGTTCTTGATCCCCTTGGCCTTGAACCACACTTTGTGAAATACTGAGAACATGTCCACATGATTCTAAGCACTGGCGTGGCACTCAGTAATTGTTCATTAGACAATAGCTGTTCTTCGAAAGGTCTTTATTGGAAACAAAAAATCCTTTTAACTTTATTTAACTTTCTTTGTTTATTTTTTACTTATTTTTTGGAAATCGCCAGTATGGGAAAAATCCTTTTAAAAAACTTGCAATTTATGTCCAAAAGCAGAGGTCCAGCATACCCTTAGTGCCCTAAATTGAAAAAATACATGAAATTTGTTTAACATTAATTCACTGAATATTTATT